GTGATGCATGAACATGTATGTTTCCTTGAATTTTAAACTGTTCAAATCATTAAAGCAGTTAAACTAAATTAAGCACACTCAAATGCATTTAAACATTTTCTACTCAACACTATGTAACATGACAAATGTTTTGACAGAAGATATTCTGAAATGTCAAAGCAAGAAATTAAAATTGATTTCACCAACTGCACCTGCTCCTTCAGTCATGAAAGTATATTGTAGACTAACATGGACATTTCTGACTGCTCATTGTAAAAAGAATCAATGCAATAAGTAAGGTTCTGGACTTTTTCCATATAAGCAACTGTTCTTTCTCCTTTTTTGGTAGGTAAAGGATGAGGTGGAGGCTCATGGCTGCTGGGCTGCACTGAAAAAATATGACCATTATTCCGTGAAGGTATAAATCATAATGAGATAATGAATGGTAAAATGAGAACAGTCCTGGTTGACTAAGTGAATCATGAGGATACATTCTGAAGAGTACTTGCATTGGCATTTCTAAATGTTAAACATTTAAATGATTGCCACATTTTATTACAAATAAGGGTATATGGATAACATAAACTAGTAAAAACACATTAGTAAATATTTATTTTAATAAAAAATTACTTACATCATTTTACTTTTTAACCATGAACCACAAAACTGAAAGAGGTGGTTGTAATTGTTACAACACAAATGTGTGTCAGTGTTTGGACACTGATCTTTGCAAGTATAACTAGCAAAAACATTTAATCAGATGATATTAATGTACATCCTGAGTTCACAAAATGTAATTGTTTGTTGCAAATAGGAGTACCTGAAAGAAGAAGGAGATCTGAGCCCCGAAGCATTGAGAATGATTGGAGAACTGCTCAACGAACAGAGTCTTATGTACACTGCACTTAGTGAGATGATCTATGACCAAACTGACATCAGTGACAGCACCAAGTAGGGCCTGGCAACTCCTCAAACCTTCTTCATGTTTACATTTATGTGTAAAAACATAATTAAAATGTTTTTTATCACCCAAGTAGAGCTTAGAAAAAAATTAAGAGTGCTTCTCTACCATTTGGTCACAAAAAGAGACAGTCGCACACATGATTAATCCAAGCAAAAACTAATGTAATAATATATAATAGCTTAAATGTGCTTTTTAATCATTTGAGCCATTTAACATAGCAGCAAAGGCCTCAAATATAAAATATATGTTATGAATTTGCAAACAGCAACTGCAATTTTTCATGTCTTTATGTAGAATATAAAAAAGTTTCTATGAGTTTTCAGTGCATGCAAGCATATCAATAATCAATGCAGACAATGCAAACAATCCAGAAAACACGGAGCAGTTTAACAGTCATTTGGCATGACTTGTTTTGATATATCCTGCTCTTTTTACGTAAGCGCTTCACTATGTTTATCATGAGGGCCTTACCTAGGTATAGAGCACTTATCATCACGAAGCATGATACCATAACATTGTGATGAACTTGTTAGAACATGCAGCAGAAGAGATGCAAACATTTAATGTGACCCAACAGCCACACACATGCAATAAAGTTTGCTTCTGCCTGCTCTGAGCAGTTCATTAGACCCTAAAAATGGAATTGTAGAAACTGTACATGTAAATAATTTCCTACAGATATTAACTACAATAATAAAATGTTATTTTTATGTCTCTTTCTTATAGGTACTTTGAAGTTGTTGGTGGGTCTGATCTTCTCCCCAAAGCTTTTCTTACTGTCCTTGATATCCCTATTCTCCTGAACTCTAGACTCAAGCGTATCAGTCACTCACACAAAGGAGTCGTTGTATCATACCAAACCGGACAACAGTCCTCTCTTACTGATCTTCAGGCTGATGTTGTTCTAGTAACAACCACAACAAAAGCAGCTCTTTTTATGGATTTCATCCCACCTCTGTCCCCCAAAAAGATGGAGGCACTGAGGTCTGTCCATTATGACAGCTCCACTAAAATCCTCCTCACCTTTAACAACAAGTTCTGGGAGAACGACGGTATCCGAGGAGGAAAGAGCATCACAGACGGGCCTACTCGTTTCATCTACTATCCCAGCCACAGTTTCCAAAAAAATAAAACCATTGGTGTCCTCCTGGCTTCCTACACCTGGGGTGATGATTCACTACTCTTTCTAGGTGCAAGTGATGAAGCCCTCAAAGAGCTGGCTCTGAGCGATTTGGCAAAGATTCACGGTGAGCAGGTCTGGGATTTCTGCACTGGGGTGGTGGTGAAAAAGTGGAGTATGGATCCTTACAGCCTTGGTGCCTTTGCTCTGTTCACACCCTACCAACACTTAGAGTATGCTAAGGAGCTCTTTAAAAGTGAAGGCAGGGTCCACTTTGCTGGTGAACACACAGCCTTCCCTCATGCTTGGAT